GCGTGGTTCCACTCATATCCAAACGAAAGGTACTACGAAACAGTCGCTAGTAAGCTACTTTAGAAGCGCTCTTTAAAACGTTTGTTCCTTTGACTGTTAAATTTTGTACTTCTTTTTTTTTTTTTTTTTTTTTTTTAATTTTCTCAGAAACTCTTAAAGAACAACATTTCGGACATATCTTTCTTCTTTGTTTCGCTGAATCAGGAAATTTGGGCGCGATTCGTTAACTTCCTTCTTTCTTTCGTTTCGGACTCAACAGCTCTTCATTGCTTCACCAGAATCTAGGGTTGTCCAGGAAGAACCTTGTCTGGGTTCGTTGTTTGAGCTAATCAGTAAGGTGATGATGCTATTCTCTCTGACATGTTTCTTTGCTTTTGTTTCTGTCGTTTCATCTTCTCATTTCTTCTTGTCCTGAATCTCCGATATTTTCTCTTTATCGGATTCGTCAAGTTCTGTTTGTTGGAGGTTCTACTTTTCTTTTGCTCTTGAATGTTGATTCTTGCTAATCTCTCTGTTTGGTTTTGTTTCTGTTATGTTAAGGGTTTTAAAGCCTGTGTATTGATTCAAATTGAATTGAGTCTGAGTTTGAATTGTCTGACGATTTGGTTATTGACATTGGAATTGGCAGGTGAAATTGAGAAAATGGATGATATAGTTTCTGCTAATGGAGTAAATTGCAAGCGTAATGGTGTAAAGGATAGTTCACTGGAAACTTGTTGGCCGGAGAAGAAGAAACCGGTTGAGGCAACGAGTCTTAGCAGCGGTTCATCAGATATAGAAGAAGAGAGTAGTGTGGAATGTCCGAAACCAGTGGCTAATCAAAGACGGAAACGCTCTAAAGCTGATGAGATTAAAGCGAAATCTTCAAGAAAGAGGAAATGTGATGATGAGAAGAAATGTGAAGAAAAGGAGAAGAAGCAGAGGAGCTCTGTAAAAAAGAGAGCAACTACATGGAAAGATGAAGAAGTTGTCGATGATGATGAAAAGAAATGCGAACAAGAACTCCAAGTAGTTCCTTTTATCAAGGCAACATCTCGTAACAGGAGCAAGAACGCAGACAGTGCGGATGCTTGGTTAGTTGGAAACGAGATCGATGTTCGCGCTTCGAGTTCGCGTTCTGAGTCTGAACTTTCGGATTCTCATCTGAAAACCGAGTATTTTAATGACTGCAGACGCATGACAAGAACTTTAAAGGTAGCATTTGTTCTTACACAATGAGAAAATGAAACTGTACTCAACTTTTTTCTGAAATCATGTTTGTTGTTTTCTTCCCTACACAGGCAGATTTGGGAGAGCTTGCGATTTGCCATCAATGCTCGAAAGGGGAAAGAAGATATCTTTTCATTTGCACCTTTTGTGAAGAGAGGTTGTATTGTTTTCCATGTATAAAGAAATGGTTAGTTTCTGTTCTCATGTTTTAGTTACATTTTCTATAGGTTTCAATATCGTCAATACAATCTTATGGTTTGTGACAGGTATCCCCATTTGTCCACGGATGATGTCCTAGAAAAATGTCCCTTTTGCCGAGGAACTTGCAACTGCTGCACATGTTTGCACTCAAGTGGTTTAATCGAGGTATGATTGTATTCTTAACAAAATATGTGGTTGTTGTTTTATATAGATCAAGAATCGCAAGTCCGATTTATGTTTTGGTGTGAATAGAGATGTATATGTTTGTCTTGCAGACATCAAAGAGAAAGCTCGATAAGTACGAAAGATTTTATCATCTTCGATACTTGATTGTGGCGATGCTTCCTTTCTTGAAAAAGTTATGCAAAGCACAAGATCAAGAAATCGAAACCGAGGCTAAGGTTCAAGGTATGTATGGATCTTCCTATACTACTAAGACAAGATGTTTTCTTGCTACAAGATAACATATTGATATGTTTTATAGGTTCAGTGGCTTCTCAAGTTGATATATCCGAGAGTCTATGCTCAAATGAAGAGCGTGTTTTCTGGTAAGTATCATACTTTTGTATGTGTCTGAAGAGTTACATGACATCTATCTTATATATCGCTGAATTGTCATTTGTGCTGTAGTAACCATTGTGCAACCTCAATTGTGGACTTGCATCGAAGCTGTCCAAAGTGTTCCTTCGAACTTTGTCTGAACTGTTGCCAAGAGATCCGTGGAGGTTGGCTTTCAGAACGCCCGGAATGTCAGCTACAATTCGAGTATAAAGGGAGCCGGTACGTACATGGCGAAGATGCAGAACCGAGCTCTTCTTCTGTTTCTGAGGATGAAACTACAAATCCATCCATTAAGTGGAATGCTGATGAAAATGGAAGCATACCGTGTGCGCCAAAAGAGCTAGGTGGCTGCGGTGACTCTGTGTTGGAGCTTAAGCGAATCCTACCGGTGACTTGGATGTCAGATTTGGAGCAAAAGGCAGAAACATTCTTAGCCTCTTATTGTATCAATCCGCCAATGTCATATTGTAGATGTTCTTCTGATTTGGAGATGAGTATGAAGAGGCAGGCAGCTTCGCGGAACAAATCCAGTGACAATTACCTCTACTCTCCAGATTCTTTTGATGTCCTGAAGCAAGAAGAGCTTCTGCATTTCCAAGAGCATTGGTCCAAAGGTGAACCAGTGATTGTTCGAAACGCTCTTAACAACACAGCTGGTTTAAGCTGGGAGCCAATGGTGATGTGGCGGGCTTTATGTGAGAATGTTGATTCAGCAAGTAGCTCTACGATGTCTGATGTCAAAGCTATCGATTGTTTAGCTAATTGTGAGGTAGAAACTCATTTTTTATAAAGTTTTTATAGCCGTAATAGAGGTTCCAAAGCTCATTTTGTTTCTTGTTATATCAGGTGAAGATCAATACTCGATGTTTCTTTGAAGGATATAGCAAAGGAAGACGATATGATAACTTCTGGCCTGAGATGCTGAAGCTGAAGGATTGGCCTCCTTCAGACAAGTTTGAAAACCTTTTACCTCGTCACTGCGATGAGTTCATTTCCGCATTACCGTTTCAAGAATACAGCGATCCTAGATCCGGAATTCTCAACATTGCTACTAAACTTCCTGAAGGACTTCTTAAACCAGATCTTGGTCCAAAAACCTACATTGCATATGGGACTTCAGATGAGCTCGGTAGAGGCGATTCAGTCACTAAGCTTCACTGTGATATGTCAGATGCTGTAAGTTTTAGAATTGTTACATACTACTGTTTAATATAATAAAGTTTTTCCAAGTATATAACGGTTTTTGTTTTGTAGGTTAATATTCTGATGCATACTGCTGAAGTAACACTAAGTGAGGAGCAAATGTCTGCAATTGAAGATTTGAAACAGAAACATAAGCAACAGAATGAGAAAGAGCTTCAGGAGCAAATGTCTGCAATTGAAGCTTTGAAACAGAAACACAAGCAACACAAGGAGAAAGAGCTTCAGGAGCAAAATGGTTTAGAGGGAGAAGAGGTTGTGAGTGATGAGATTGTGATATATGATGAAACAGGTGGTGCACTTTGGGACATCTTTAGAAGAGAAGATGTTCCTAAGCTTGAAGAGTATCTAAGGAAGCATTGCAAAGAATTCAGACATACTTTTTGCTCTCCTGTTACAAAGGTAAGAAATAATCCGCGAAACGTTTTCATTAACGAGTCTTAGAGGTTATTGTGCTGATAGGATTCTTTTTGTTAGGTGTATCATCCAATACATGATCAATCATGTTTCTTAACCGTGGAGCATAAACGAAAACTCAAGGCAGAATTTGGTATGGTTACTTGTAACTGTATTAACTGTCACTTACCGACATTGTATTCATACGTTTTTGTGTTTGTTTGTTTGAATTAAAGGGATTGAGCCATGGACATTTGTGCAAAAACTAGGAGAAGCAGTGTTTATTCCCGCGGGGTGTCCACATCAAGTTCGGAATCTTAAGGTTATTATCTGAAATGATTTCTGTCTTATTAACTAACTTTTTCTCATTATCTTTAACTTCTTTAACGGTTTCTTAATATGGTTTTGGAACAGTCTTGCACCAAGGTAGCTGTTGATTTTGTTTCCCCAGAGAACATCGATGAGTGTCTCCGTTTGACTGATGAGTTTAGACAACTCCCTAAGAACCATAAAGCAAGAGAAGACAAACTTGAGGTTATTCTTTTTCAGTGTTTTAGATTTTGGATTAGCGATTTTGTTTATTTTTGAATCTTGTTTTAATCTTTGCCATGTAAATCAGATAAAAAAGATGGTGATCTATGCAGTTGAACAAGCTCTGAAAGAAGTGGAGACATTGTTGCTAGATCGCAGCTAAAAGCTCTATAGCTTTGTTGTTGTAGGATTGACAGCAGATTTTGTAGGATTGTTAAAGCCATGGCTATTGTAGTTGGCTTTTGCTGTGATATATATATATGTAAAGAGACAAGCGTCTCTTGAAAACAATGATTCCTTTTTTGAAATGGGATTTTTGATGTAATTTTTTCGACTTTTGAATTTGGAGGCCATTCCTTTTTGGCATATGAATATCTGATGTAATCTTCTTTTGCATTGTTTTGTATTTTGCATCATTTGGAGAGCAAATGAAAGATTATGTGGGACATCATAATGTGTAGCTGTAGATTTTGATTGATATTGGATCATCAAATAATCTGAAGCATTCTTTTTCTTGGACTCTGTTTTAACTTTTTTTCTCATCTAAATTAACATTTTACCTTTACAATGATCTTGGTGATGACACCATGTATAGGTTCATATGGTTACAACAACACATAAGCAAATAAAATTGTAGTATAAAACTTGTAAAATACTTAAATACATTAATTTTCAAAGGTTTTAGTTTAAGGTAACTTTTTTCTAATTGTTTAGAAGGAAAATAATTAATATTCCTAGTCAAATTGTATCATTTTCTTACCATTTTCTGACATATTCATAGTTGAATATCAATTTCGGACAACAATTTAATGATGTTCTAAATGAACGTGGGTCCCTCCTAACTTAAACGTTATACGTGGCTTACGACGTCGTTTATACGTCGAACTACCATCATCGTCTACCTTCTTCTCTCAAATCCAAAAATCTTTTAATTGCAAAATTCTTCAGTTTCCGTTTCTCTTGAAATTTTTTTGACTTCAAAAACCCTAAAAGGCTTTCTGATTGTTCGTTTCTGTAACTCGAATGTTGATCTTTCGACGGTGAGTGATCGCGCACGCACAATGACGAGGAAATCGCAGCCGCAGATTCAGCCTCCATTGTCACGTCGCGGCGGCGTAGTGTGGCTAGGATGGAAGCTCGTAATCGCTTTCTCCGTCGCGCTTTGCCTTCTTGCTCTCCTCCGAATCCAACTGCAGTACAATTCCGACACGACATTGCCGTCGCCGCTCTCCGTCGCGAGATCTCAGACACCGCTTCACAAATACTCCGGTGATCGTCCCAAGCTCGCTTTCCTTTTCTTAGCTCGCCGTGACCTCCCACTTGATTTTATGTGGGATAGATTCTTCAAGGTCGGGAACTCGTAGACCAAGTCTTTTGATTAATATGTTTTTCTCAAATTTGGAAAATTGCTGATTCTGGTTGATTTTGCAGGGTGTTGATCATGCGAATTTCTCAATTTATATACATTCATTACCTGGTTTCGTGTTCAATGAAGAAACTACACGATCACAGTATTTCTACAATCGCCAATTGAACAATAGCATTAAGGTGAGTGTTCATGAGAATTTCTCCATTTGATGTTTTTTATAGTGAAACTTAGGGTGTTGTTATGGTTATAGGTAGTATGGGGAGAATCAAGCATGATTGCAGCAGAAAGATTGTTGCTTGCATCTGCTTTAGAGGATCACTCCAATCAAAGATTTGTTCTTCTCTCTGACAGGTTTGCTTCTTTCAGCATTACTCATTGATTGCTTTTGCTTTTTTTTTGCATACATGTTCTTCTTCATGATTAAGGTTTAGCATGTCCTTATATGCTTCTACTTTCTGTTCTGCAGATGTGCTCCGTTATATGACTTTGGCTATATATACAGATATCTTATCTCTTCACCAAGGAGTTTTGTGGATAGGTAAATTGAGAGTTTGAATTTATGAGGTTTCTCAGTACTTGTAAATATGTCTGTGGAACTACTTGACATGTATGGCCTGATAACTGGTGTATTTTACAGGAGGAGTTGTCTAGATGTTGATAACTATGTTTGTTGCTCTCTTATTGCAGTTTTCTTCATACTAAAGAGACACGGTACAGTGTGAAAATGTCTCCTGTCATACCTGAAGAGAAATGGCGGAAAGGATCCCAGGTATCTTCATTTTCTTGCTTATCAAACGAACATTGCTGAATTTGATTGCTTACCAAGCCTAAATTTCTTCTGGAAATTTAAGCATCAGGATGAGAGGGACCAGAGGTTCCTTTGCAGTTATGAAGTTTTAATCTCAGCCTAGTTTTATCTATTGCAGTGGATAGATTTGATCAGAAGTCATGCAGAGGTCATTGTAAATGATGGTATCGTATTCCCAGTTTTTAAGGAATTCTGCAAGGTAAAGATTAAGCTTTATGTATATTCATTGAGTAGCAAGCAGTCACCATTAAGCGAAACCTCAGAATATCTTTTACCGTCGTAATTTCAATCTTGATTCTTTTTTGTGCTAAAGAGACAATAGAATATTTATTGATTTCTCTTTCGATTTGCAGAGATGTCCACCTTTAGGTACCAATGAGGCATGGTTGTTTCTTGTAAGTGCTATTTCAAAGATGTTATTTTTCATTTAATAGCAGCCTAAATCGATTATGTTGATTCTTTGTGTTGGTTTCATAAAAAAAATCCTCAATAGAGTCTACTTTGTAGTCTATGAACACTTCTCTCCATGGATTTAGCTCTCTCTTTCTTAAACAAATGGTGAAATTTTGTTTTACGTTTGATGTGAACTCAGAAACAGAAACGGCGCAACTGCATCCCCGATGAACACTATGTGCAAACATTGCTTACGGTAATCCTATCTGATAAAAATCTCTCCCATTTTTGTTTCCTTCTAAAAAGTTCCATATTGGTTTTGTAATCCAAACTGATCGTTTCAGATGCAAGGGCTAGAGAGTGAAATGGAACGAAGAACAGTGACATACACTGCATGGAACGTTTCAGGTACAAAATATGAAGCCAAATCTTGGCATCCCGTCACTTTCACATTGGAAAACTCCGGTCCTGAGGAAATAAAAGAAATAAAGGTACAATCTTTTTGTTCAGAGGATTAATATCACAACCGAATGAATCCCTAAGTAATCTCTCTAGTTCTTTTGCTTTTCTTGGGACAGAAAATAGACCATGTCTATTACGAGTCTGAATCTCGAACGGAATGGTGTAAGGCGGATTCAAAACCCGTCCCATGCTTTCTCTTTGCAAGGAAGTTCACAAATGAAGCTGCTATGCGCATTGTGAGTGAAGGACTAATAGGATCATCAACAAACACAACCTTATAACTATGCAACATTGTAAGCAAGTTTTTAGGGTACAAACTGAGAAAGGTAACCTATCGTGTAGGTCAAGCAACAGAGGGTATACATAGAGTAGAGAATAGCATTGATACATTACAGACATCCCTTATGAGGGTTATGAATTATAACTTATATGTGACTCTTAGTAAACACTAAGATAATTCTTCATGAATTTTCTTACTTTGGAATCTTGTTTTTCGTATTAAAATTTTCTCTGAATATATGCCTGAAGAAACTGGTTTCGATTAATATAAAATATATTACCTTAAACCATGTTTTACCTCTTCGTAGGAATACAAGTTATGTTAAAAAATACTACACAACAACCGGTTAACTACTCCGAAGTACTAAGTAGCATGTAACATTAGCAGTTTAGCACTAATTTCTAATAACAAGAGTATCTAAACTAAGTAAAACAATTTACAAATAATTCATCAGTACAACGATAAGAAAAGACACAAATTAATTTGATAAAGCAGAGAATAGACTTTGGGAATAAAAAGCACTACTTCCGCGTGTGGTAGGTGTGAAAAGTACACCATAAGACTTGGTTTGGAGATCATATATCACCGCTGGTTGCAAGTATGAACGACTATGAAGTAATAACTTAGTCTTGTCCAGAATTGCTATTGGAAAGAGTCTGGATACGGCTTTCCCATACAAAGAAATAGTTTCTGTGAGATCTATCGAACACAATTTCTTCCATGGCTCCATGCCGCCTGAAGAATCAAACGACCATATGACTTGGGTGGGCCAATTTGTCTCAGATACGCACAAGCGGTTATCGAGGATGCACATGGTGAAGCCGAGAGGGTCAAGCACATGGGGAAAGGGAGTTTTTGAGATGACTTGAAAAGTTTCGGTGTGAAGATCGAAAGATAAAACCTTGGTTTCTTCACACTCAGTGAACCAGTAAAGTGACCCATCTAAATACACTGGGTAATGATCACCAAGAATCCGATAAAGAGAAGCTTGGTGAAGGAACCTCCAAGCGTTGGTGCTAAAGTCGAAAACTTCACAAGTGGTAATGTTTTCTAGGCCATATTCAGATGAATTATACAACCAAACGGGCTTGTATGTGCCCCTTACTTTGTCTCTACCGAATCCAAGCTTGGCACATGTGATGTCAAGCGCTCCTTTAATCTTTAACCTGTCGAAAATGAGCTCTCGATAGCTGGAAAGAGGAAAACTTTGATGCCATCTAGTGGCGGGATTGACCACGAAACTCGGATCATTGAGACTGTAGAGGCATAAGAGACCGTCACAACTACCATGGCAAAACACGGTGCACGAAGTAGGGAACCTAACCGTCGAAACAATGGACGACCCCAACACAATCCTCATCCCTCGAGCTTCATCATCACCAAGGGACACGAAAAGGACATCTATACCTCGGGATTGCTTACGACAGATAAACTGTCGCTCCTTGAATCGATGGGACTCGATTGTGGATTTCCACCTCTTGGATACAGACTTCAATCTCAGCAGAGGCTTCACAGGAAGTTTCTCGAGGATGAGCTCAACAACATCGTGTGGTAGCAATTCCACAACACTGGAGCGATGTCGTTTCAAAACCACACTTGATCCATGTCTTTTCGATCCAACAACACTCGAGCGATCTCTTTTCAACATTGTCTTCTTGTCTCTCTCTTTCAATAATATACAATCTAAGCCTAGCCTAGATTGTACACGAGCTGAGCTACTACCGACTCGAGCTAAGCCTAGCAATCATAAAAAAGTAAAACTTCCATTAACGAAATGGTAATTTCAAAACTTTAAAACTCTCTATCCATATTATAATGATTATCTCGAACAAAATATTACGAATTTCGTCAAAGCAAAACACAATCACAGAAGATGATAAAAAAATGACAGTGACGTACCTCACGGAATGATGGAATCAAATCCTTGTTTGTTCCTTAGAGCTTTACCAATCCTCAGGAGTCGATTTCTCTGTCTCTCCCATTAGAACAATCTTTTATTCTACACGAGCGTCGAATCGGTTCTTACAGGCGGAGGAGAGAAACAGAGAGATATCTCATCGGAAACTCAACTCCTCCTGCAATGTTCATGTTTTCTCTTTAAGGCTTTTACTTTAATCTGGGCTTTTATTTTCATTTGGGCTTAAAACCCATAATCCTTTCACACTAAATCAAATGTTTTTTTTTTTTAAGTACAAGATATCTTCTTAATAACATTAAATAAAATCCATATCCAAAATTGTATATAGTAGATTTAGATTTTTTATAATAGAAATCTTCAAATGAGATCATATTTATCGGCACAATAAAAGGCTCATACTTATCTAAAAAGAATTTTGTAAATAAATATGATTTAATTATGAGAGATATATGGTAACTTAATAGTACTAGAACCATATGGTTAGATGCAGAGTCCACTATAGATGATCATCAACTTGGGTTTGAATCATATTTGAAATGATGAGAAGTTAGTCAGCAGAGCTCTCAAAGCAAAAAAATATGTAGTGACAACCTTTTAACTACTTCTCACTACTATCGTAGCAAAGACAAGATGTTGTTTACTTTTTTTTCATCAGATGTTGTTTACTTTTGTCTTTCATGTGTTTATTTATTATATCCATGAAATTTGAAAATTAGTAATAATGTACCTTGGTTTCAACTTACAAGCAACATCACAAAATAGAATGCAAAAAAAAAAAGAGAAGATCTACATGATTCCAACATTAAAAACTCAAGATTCGTAAAAATCTTAATTGTATAAACCTTAAACGTTAAAAAAATCTCTTTGTGTTTAATAATTTTAAACGGTGACATAAATGTTAACGAGTATTTTGAAGGGAGTAACAATTACGACCCTTGTGATTGCCAGCTCATATTTTTATTTCGATTATATATTTTAATTCAAATAAAACATAGGTCTCACGATATCTAAAACTAATGTCTCTCTTGTCAAATCTTTCACTTCTCTGTTTTCTCTATCTCCACCACTGTTTCTTGAAAACCTCGCAATGGCATCACCGTCTTTCTCGAGAGATGAATTAAAATGGAGTTGCAAGTCCTGTTCAGCTATGAACACATATAAGACATCTGAATGCGAAGCATGTAAAACGGAAGAGTATGGACGATGACATCGTTGACTCTGATGAAATTCTCTTTGCTACGATACTAGTGAGACAAAAGTAATTGTATATAACCTTTTCAAACCAGACTATATAACCTTGAAATTCTCTCGGGTTGAAGTGTAATCAGCCATCCCTATTGTCATCAATCCAGAAAACTCAAGATTAGTAAAAATCTTAATTGTATAAATCTTAAACGTTAAAAAAAATCTCTTTCTCAATTTCTCTTTTGGCTTGGGAGATGACCTACTTGTTGAGTGGCTGCTGCAAAACTCTACAACATTGATTAAATGTGGATGTGTATGAATGATATGTGCGCACAATATATTTTGACAATCGATTTTCGTACAAAATGATGTCTAATGTTTATAAATATTCACTTACTTTTTACTCGAATTTAAAAGTAAAAATGGAGACTTTCGTTTGCGGATATTAGTGACAGAGTCTTCGCAACTTGATAACCAATTTTTAACCGTTTGGAGAAGCATATCAGGAGGGACAATTTCAGTGAACCCAATGAATGAGGTGTGTGTGGTTGAGGTTAGTGTTTGTGTTTTTGTTTAACTTATTGCTTTGGAATTCAAGATTTTCATTTGTTTTATTTTCTTTTCTTGTCATCTTAGATTAGAGGAGGCTACAAAGATGTGAAGACTGCTTTTAAACAAGTTTCTATCTATTGAGGAAGCTTATTTTTCATATGTGAAAAAACACTGGTTCATTCTCTTTGTATGTGGTTGAGGTTAGTATTGTGTTTCCGTTTAATTTATTGCTTTGGATTCTAAGTTTTTGATTTGTACAACAAATGAAGCGAAATTTTGGATGTCAATATCTCATTCTCTCTGTTGAACAACGACGCCTCAGTTCTGCAAGTAAGAATTTTCCATGTAGCTTTTTAAACTCTTTAGTGATTTGTTTCTTACTCATAAGTTTTTGATTTTTGTTTTTCTGCTTTAGATCACACGAGATCTTGAAGCTGTGAAAAGGCTTTTTATCCAAGCCTTTCTTCGTACAGAAAACACTTCTTTGCACTCTAGTAAAGCCGGGATCTACCTAAGAGCCTATTAGACATTTTTTTACATTAAAAAATCACTGATACTCTTATTCATATATTGTTGATTTTTCCATTTTGGTCCAAATCTTTTGGATTTATTATTTTGTTTCCATTTTTTTTTGGAATTGCCATTTTTTGGTCACTTTAAAAGCTATACATATGTGATTTTTTCTTAATATCAAATACATATTGAATAAAAAAAACACTAAACTCTAAAATTAAAAAATGAAACCAAGAATAACTAACAAAATGTGTAAAATTGTGTCTTTAAATGTAAGAAATGGCCAATCTAAAATATTTAAGGTAAAATAGTAAATTTTCATAAATATCACTAAAAATGGACTTCTTCCGAATTGTTTCATGTTATATAGATATGATATTACTTTACAAATATAACTAACACTTCATGTTTTAACCTTTTTGGCTTTGAATGTCATTCTGGGAACAATTCCGTAAGATATTGCCATCTACAATTTTTCTTATGGTGTTCACAATTTGAAAAGCAAATAATTTTGTTTGTAAATTTTCAATGATCTAATATAGTATTAATTATAAACAAGTTGAGCGGCTCCGCTAATAAACCGTTTGCAATAAAACTCTGCTAATACAATTTTTATCTTTTACAGCAAAAGATAAACAAACATATGTTGGATATTTGTTTTCTCTTATTGACTTTAAAACGCTTTGTTTCTTATATAAAAAAGAAAAAAGAAGAAGAGAAGATCTACATGATTCCAACATTAAAACCTCAGCTCTTGTTCTTCCCTGAAACTGGTTTTGATGTTAAAACATAGAATCAATCTCATCACTCAGTAGTTTACATCATTACTTCTTAGGATACTCTCTCGCCCCGAAAATTGTAGATCCTATTCTCACATTTGTGCTTCCCAGTTCAATCTGTAACTCCCAAAACCGTAAAGAAAACTCTTAACATTTTGAGCAGACCTCAGAATTTTTAACTCGAATCAACAATCACAACAACTTACAGCTAGTTCAAAGTCACCAGACATCCCCATAGATAGCTCACATTGCTCCTCCGGTATTCCAAGCTCCTTGCACACTTCACTTCTGCATTTCGCAAGCAACTACACTAATAATAAGAAACGAAAGTGAGCTCCTTTTAGCGTTACCAAACATTATACAAGTTTCAAACCAAATTATATAACCTTGAAATTCTCTGGGGTTGAAGTGTAATCAGCCATCCCTATTGTCATCAAACCAGAAAACTCAAGATTCGAGCAAGCTTCCTTCACGTGTTTCGCTAGTCCTACGCATCCTGAGGGTTCCACGCCGAACTTAGCTGGAAGTGTCAGTTAAGATATCATTAAGAAACGTGAAAGTGGGAAAACATTTGAGATGGATGTTGAAGAAGAAATTCCATATTTCCAGATTCTTACACTCTTCGCCACTAGTATTCACTTGGACCAAGACCTTCAAGGGCTTTCTACCGATATTTCCAACCACACGATCAAGCATATTTGCTATCTAAGAAGCAAATGTAATTAAACAAAATCAGTGATTGTAACACATATATTCCTCAAGTTAGTATGGTTTGAACTTATCAAACTCTCAAAGCATCTTTACTATCATCACATCCATCCACGAACCCAAGAGTTTTCCATCCCACTACCCACAAACGTTCAATGAAATACTATTTGATAGATTCAACTATCCAAAGATGATGATGCTTATGTCATCTAACACCTCGAAGAGCTCTAGAACATTTACAAACCAAATGACAAACCCTTATCTTTCAATATACAAAGAGAGAATGTTTACCTTTTCATCATCAACACTTTCCACCATCACAAGGTTAGGAACTCCAGCTGATCAACCAAATCAAAGAATTAAGAATAGAACATATCAAAGAAATTAAAAAAAAAGACTCGGTATCACACTCGACAGAGAGAGATTAAGTAATAAAAGAAGACTTTGAAAAATCAATTTACATAGCAAAGGCTTCACTTTGTTGCTCTGCAAATTCCCAATGAAATGCCACTCTATATCATCTGGAAGCTGCGTATATCAATCTAAATTTAGACTCTTTCAATCCAAAAGTTTCAATTTTTAGGGATTCGTAGAAATCTTAGCAAGCAGAGAACCTGAGGTGACTTCTCAATGATCTCTTGCACATAATTCTCTCCAAAAGACCTATGTCCAGCGTCGTAGACTTGGCGAATCAGAGAAACTGGTTTCGTCTTGCTCACCGCTACGACCCGTATCTGATCCGACACACGACCCGCTTTCTCCGCCGCCTGGTTTACCCGCTGAACCACCGATCTCAAAGCCGCCACGCCATCAATCGCCGCCGCTGACATAGTAGAATCCGCCACGTGTTCTTTGTTAATCGAACAATCACTTCTGGTCACCGCTTTGTGGGAGAGAGAGAAAGAGGACTCTGAAACGCTGCGTTTCGATATCAATTTAAAAAACAAATAACAAAACTTATTAAAAATTTAAAATACGCTGCGTTTCGAACCCGGAGCAATAGAACACAATAATGTAAATAGTGTACAAATTAAACATTTTAGATTTTGAATCTGATTTTGTCGAAAACTGGAGCCTACTACCAGATTTAAAAATCTCATTCACTCATGTGAGTAATTATCAAAATAATTTAAGAAAAAATTGAGTAATTGGGACTAACCAGAGGATAGCTAAAAGTAGTAAAACATATATTTAGATGCATAGTTTGCTCAAAAAAAAAATTAAAAATAAAAAAATATTTAGATGCATAGATCAACTTGGGTTTGAAAATTGAAATGACTACTTTATTTTGAAGGACCTGCATTATATTATTGTGGATTATGCTTTTGGTTGTTTGCAAATTTGTTATAGAAAAAGAAAAAAAATCAACTAAAAAATCCATTGCAAGGAATTGAACCTGGGATTGATACATGTGGATGTGGTGACATTTTTAGCACAAAATTA